CCGCGCGAAAAAATTTTATCGCGATTTTAATGAGCCTTTGATAAGGCTCGATTAAGGCTTAATTGCTTTTTAATGTTTTTTTAATGGGAGTTTTTTATCAAAATTAATTAATCGTTCTAAAGTTGTAGTGCACCAATTTTCCTTCGGTAAAGTTATTTAAAGCTGCTTTCTGATGTCAAAAATGACCTCCGATAGTTTAATTATTTTAATGAATAGATTTTATTATATATATGTTTAATTAATTAGGGGGGTCGGAAATCGCAATAAAAATTATAATTTTTTAAAAATATTTAAAAATATAGGTTTAATTTCTAGTCACCCTACTTTAAACCCTTCTCCTCCCGAGATGTCTGAGAATGTCCCGGGAAATACCACACCAGCTGTTCTCAAGATCATCCAGATGTGTAAACAATGACTCATCGGTGTTAAATTTCACAGAAAGGCGAGACAAAGGAAACTAAATGAAGCTTTTTAACCAAAATTAACACATTTCTTTCGTTTTTTTCAGTTTTAAGTATTTTTTATGCTTAATTAAAAATTTTTTTAAAAAAGTGGACAAGAAGCAGTTAAACTTTACAGTAGCTAATGTGTTTAAGAAAAGTCATTTTCAGAATGAATATATGAAGAAGTAATAATGCTACTTGCCTTTGAATAATAAAATTTTAAATTGAATGGATATTTTTGGAAGAAAAACTGAAAGCTAATTTGTAGATATACATAATCCTTATAAATTTATGTTACCTTGTATCCACACTGAGAAAATTTGGAAGTTTTATGAAATGTATTTCTTTTCCTAAATTTGTTGTAATTCTAGGAATTTCTACTTCAATTCTTGTTTCTGGTGCTGGTTCTTCATGTTCTTCATGTTCTTGTTCTTCTTCCTATTTCCAAAAATTAATAAAATTTTCAACTTTATAAAAAAAAAATAAGTGCCTGTAAATTAAGCTATGGTTAAAATATGTTAGAAATTCTCCAAAAATTAAATAATGTAGATATTTGAAGCATAGAAATATAATACACCAGGATGTCTACTGGATTTCAAGAAAATAATTCATAATACAATATCAATTTTCATTACTGACTAACATTTGCAAAAAAAAAAAAAATTTATGATCGCATACTACATAATAAAATCCTTTATTCTTTTCTAGACTAGCCCTTTTAGTTAACAATTTAAAGGGCATAATCAATAAAGCAGGTCATCTATATTGGCTATTGCTGAAGGATGATTGAAAGAATATAATGTAAGCAACTATAAAAAATACAATTTCTGACAAGATACATAAATACATTGCAAACTTGAGTGTAAAATGCTAGTGATGAAAAAATCTTATAACAGAAAAGGCAGATAATACCAATAAAAGATCCAGATAGTTAATTTTGAGTAATACAAAGTTTTATAACAGTTAATAATAATTTACACTTAATATTCAACATTAGTTAATGATGGAGTATTCATTTCATGCTCAGAAATGTACAAGTATAAGATGGATTATTCCCTTTCAAAAACTGGAGAAATTTTTTCTGGTAATTACTGGTAAAAAAAATTCATCACCAGTTATCAAAATTTGTGACTTAAAGTGATTTTTTATGGCTTTTTTTTACAATTTCATTACTTTCATAGTTTTCCTGAAAAATAGATACTCTGTACACTCTTATAGCAAAATATATTCATGTAATTATTTCATTACTGGTTTGTAACTATTGATAAAATCAAAAAATGTTTATTTGAAATAGTGTAAAAATAAATATATTTTTTGACTTAATAGAAATCAATATATATACAATATAATATAACAGATATAATAAATTTAATAAAATAATTCATGAATTCATATATCAAAAATAATAATTGCATTTGAGACAATAGTTTAAAAATTTTATTTTAAATGTTTCCTTTAAGATGTAATGAGTTAAGTTTATTCAGATATTGGTTAACTTTAATTGAATGTATTTCCAACACATATAACCACATCTACTGATGGTATCTTCCAATCACTCTCTGCAATAAATTCCTACAAACAGAGACTTCTTTTTAAATAACTCTGGTCTCAAAATGCTTCAACAATATTTACATAATTTAATTTTTAATATATCAGTTATTACCTCAAGAATATCTTTCTCAATTCTTTCATTTTCTTTTTCATCATCAGATTTTAATCTTGCATGGCCTGCTTCTTCATCAGAACTAATATCACCAACATCACCACCAAATAAATCTTGTTCAGTGGCTAATATGAAATTAATCTATCATCATCATTTATTAAAAAAGTAAATCTTTTCATAATAATCATAAATTATATCAACCTAATCTCAAAATAACTGACTAGAATAAAGCATAGCAATAAGTTTACAAGATCTATAGATAAACCAATTAACACTATAATTTCATAAATAAATATTAAAATAAAATAATAAATTTGTGAAAAGTTAATAACACATTTCCTGCAATTTGTTACAGGGCAATAACAAACTAAAGTAATCCATTTTTTTTTTTTTTTTTTTTCAAAATGTCTTGGCAAGAAATCAGAGTGCACAATTTATTCAAAATTTGGTGCCTCAACCTGCAAAGTCCAAGATGCTTCCAGTTACTAGTTATTATGTATTTTGCTTACTTTGCTGGTGACAGATATAGTTGATAGTTATGAGTATTATAATTAAATGTTTTGGTGCAACTAATTTCATAAAAATGAGGATAAATAAATTAAGTTAAAAATACAACTGAAACTGACAGTAAATAATCTTTATACCTATATTACTTTGTAGATAAAACTATTTGTCTTTCACCTTTAATTTAAATTAAACAATTTAATTAATAAGTTAATTCATTATATAATACATTACCACAAATTGCAGATAATTTATCTTTATCAAATATACAAATACTTTTTCTTCCTTGGTATTTTTATCTTTTAATACCATATGGACTTGTAAACTGAGAACCACCATATTGAATGCTACAAAACAGCAAGATTGAAGGTTGCTATTGCATTACAACAATAAATTAGTAAAATTTATTAAATATGTAATAGGAAAAATCTGACTAATTTAATTTTTTTTAAAACCAGTATCTTAAAAAATGAGTTATGCAGATTTCTCTCTAGGGTGTAAACATTAGAGATGTAACTGATTCCAATCAGATACCAATATATATCAGCATATAAATGTTCCTGATATATCAGTATCAGTATCAGTTGGTTTTACAAATCAAGGCTCCCAATTTTTTTTTTTTGATACATATCCCTCACATTGTTTTGCCATGACAGGTATTCCAATATGGTAATGGACATATCATGCTATAAAACTAACCCATGCTAGACAGAGAATCCTCTCTGCACATGATTTGTAACTGATGGCCATGTGACATAGTTATTACCAATTTTGGCAAGTGCCAACTGCTCTTTGCAGTTGACTCATGGGAAGACCAAACCAGTCAACTGGTGATTTGGCAAGGATTTTTTTTCAATCTGGCAATTTTTCTATACTATTATAAATTAATTCAAAGTTTTCCTAAAATTAGGGTTAGAGTCAGATCTAGGCAAACTAGACAATTGCAATTGTCTAGACCTGACTCCAACCCTGATCTCAAAGAGATCCTAAATCAATTTGTAAACTTTTATTTCTTTATATTTGCATTTAAATGGTTAATGAACAAAGTGAATATTCTCTAAACCTATGATATTTCATTTATTAACAATATCTGTAGAATATAGATAGAAGTACCAGTATCAGATTGGATCATTTAGAAACTTATTGGTATCAGATCATATTAGAGGAATTCAGTATTATATCATCTCTAGAAAATATGCCATATAAAATGTGTTAGAATTTTTTGTTTTAGCATTTAACATTAAAATAAGTTTTTTAAAATGTAATATTAAATTATTAATTGACTGAAGAAATTCTGTTGGATGAACCAGTCAAAATCCAGGAAAACATAAAATACAAATATACACCAATATAACTTTGATATTACTAAATAATAAATTAACAAGCTACTTTTTGCAAAATTATACAAAATGATGTTTTTTGTTTTTGTTCTAAACCTTAGTTATTTTAAACTTTTATAAAAAAAAAAAAAAAATAATGCATCCATCTTATATTAGCTATAGTACAAGATATTCATGTCATTACTGAAAATAAATGACATGAATGACATAATATATATGTGTGGTCCCAGATGGAAAACAAACTTTAAAGTTCGAATGATGAAAATCCGGTGAGATAGTTAAGCAAAATTTCAAAATTAAACAAAGCAAGTCTTAAAGTCTAGCTTAAGCAAAGAAAGTTTTTCCAACAAAATGGATAACAAAGGATGAATTGTGAGGAGAATGTCAAAATTGGAGGAAATTTCGATGAATAGGAATTGGGTTTAGTCGTGAAATTGACCTCCCGCACCCTGAAAGGTTTCAAATTGTTACCAGATGACAAGGGGTGACCAATCAGAAAGCAGAATCAAGGGGGAAAAAACAGATAAAAACGTGTGTGTTTCAAGGTCGCAATGTTCTTTGTTTGTTGCTCCAAACCTTTGTTTTCCAATTAAAATCTGTTGTGTGAGCTATCATCTTTCTCCAAGAAATATCTGATCTTCCAGAGTTGTTTGTGGCATTCCTAATTCATTCCTGTGATGAGGACCACCTATTTCCAGGCTGCAGTGCACCCTGGGGCCATTGATCCTGCTGACTGGAACTGAGGAGGACTCTGTGGATTATTTGAGATATAACTGAACTCTCGACCATGTAAAACTGTGTCAACAGTGACACTAAGATATTTGTAAGAAAACCTTTTTTAATCTCATTAAATGGGTAATGATGATAAATTTGTCTCAGTGAATTTCATGATCACACATTATTGACTTGACCCCTGAACCATCTCGACAATCGCACACAGTTGGCAAGTCTTACAGTGGTGTCAGAGAAGTGGGATTTTAAGTACCTGATCACCACCCCTGTTGGCAAGCCTCACATATAAATTTATTAGAATGAATTTAATTATAAACATTTCCTGCTTAATGTTTTCCCAGCAGAACATCTTTTAGTTTTTAATAACCAAACCTCAGAGAATATATGTCTCAACATGTTTTAGAACAAATGATTATTTAAGAATAAATTTATATTTATCCCAAAACATCAATAAAATATCTTCACAAAATAATATGCTAGGAAAATCTTGTCACATTTCAAATTGATTATAATGTCAGAACCACATGCAGATGTTTCAAAAAATGTCTTATGTGTCAAGAAATGAAATATGTATCTCAAATATAGTTGGTGCTAAAAGAAAAATGATGGTGCCATATCATACAAACTCTGTCTACAACAGAAAGCCTAAACACACTTTTTGCATCATCACTAATATAGTAACCCTTGCTTAACACAAGATTTGATTAATGTACAAAATTAATTATGACAATCCCTTTATATATGCAGCAGAAGTTTTAATTAACATGGCTTTAACAGCTGTCTTTACTTAAGATAGATATGTTTTTCTCAGAAAATAAGGTGTTGGTGAATTTGCTATTTTTGCACTGAGGGTGATTTCCAATATAGATAGGTAATTTAATTATGATAGTTGTAAAATTTAACACATTACTACTCATGTGATATCGTATTCTTTGTTCAGAACTTTATTTTAAACTTTACTTCACATTTTGTTTGCATAAATTCAAATCAAATCAAAATTCCTACAGATAAAATGCATATCAGGCATATTATGTATGCTTTTGGTTTCATAAAGAATATAACTCTGTACAAATAAAAAATACTTATAGTGTCTAGGGGAAAGATGCTCCTAAATGTCAGATATGTCAAATATGGTTTTGAAAGTTTTGAACTAAAGGATACAAAACATACAGGTATACAAAAACTGCTGACAAAAAGAAATTTCTAAAAAACATTGCTAAAGAATCGATGAAAAACAACTCGTGAATTTGCAACAAATCTGTATGTCACCAACAAGATGATTGGGTTCTGCATGCATTATGTGAAAAAAAAAAAACTGCATTAAGTGTAATTTTGTTCTAACAAAGGTAGTCAGATCTAAAGTTTCAGTTTATTTTTAAATTAGTTACTCATTTTTATCATAAAAACATTTTGTCATCTGTTAAAAATAAAAATGCTTCTACCGTGTTTCCCCGAAAATAAGACAGTGTCTTATATTAATTTTTGCTCTGAAAAATGCGCTAGGTCTTATTTTCATGGGATGTCTTATTTTTCCAGGAAGAAGAATTCACATTTATTATTGAGCAAAAAAATTCCCAAGTCGAACTTAGACGAGAGTGACGTATATCCGGTGTGTCGAACTGTCGCCTTTTTATAGCGTCAACATCGGACTCGATGACCAATTACTGCTTACTGAANGCAATAAAAATTATAATTTTTTTAAAATATTTAAAAATATACCGCCAGATTGAAGTCACCCTACTTTAAACCCTTGTCCTCCCGCGATGTCTATGAGAATGTCCCGGGAAATCAGACTCCAGCTGTGTTCAAGATCACCCAGCTGTGTAAACAATGACTCATCGGTGTTACATTTCACAGACAGGCGAAACAAAGGAAAATAAAATATAAAGCTTTTTCTTCAAAATTAACGCATTTCTTTCGTGTTTTTTCAGTTTTAAGTATTTTTTATGCTTAATTAAAAATTTTAAAAAAAATGGGCGGCTCAAAGGGGGTTAATAAAAAGTATGAACTATTGAACAAACAATAAATCCAATATGAATTATAGATAAGCAATGCATTACCAATCTCTGAATGTCAATGTTGGGAATTATATTACAAAATCAATCGGTTTGTAAGTAGATTAAATGGCAAAACTTACACTATATTCTATGTAAATCCTTCAACACTATTGGAAGATATGCATTAGTATCTAGTGATCAATACAGCTGCAGCACAGAAAAGTGATAAAAGATTACCATGTTGCACAAAACGTTAAGTACAATGCTTTCTTGAAGTTGGATTGGAAGATGAAGTTAATTTCATGACCCACTTTACCACCTAATATCATCCTTAGATTATTGTCTAAAAATGAGTGATTGATAAAATGCATTATGAAATAAAGCACACTTGCAATGTAAAAATATATATAAGAAAGGATTCTTGCAGAGTTATGCAAGTTAACTCCCAATACACTGACATTAAGTTCATAAAGATAATGTTCCTGTACCCTGTAGTCAGTTTACAGATCTTTTAATTTAACAAATAATGATGTTCTGTGATTAATGTTTACC